CCTGCAGCAGGGGCTTGTGGTCCATGGCGGCCCGGCCCCGCGGCGGCCCGCTCGCTCGCTCGCTCGCTCGCCCGGCGCGGACGCGGCGGGGACGGAGGCGGCGGCGGCCCGGGCGCTCGGGCCCTGGAAGGCGCGGCGCCGGCGGGGCGGGGCGGGCGGGCGCGCGCCGCGGCTTCCCCGCCCCCTCCCCGCCAGTCACAAGACCCGGGTCACGTGGGCGGCTCGCGGCGGGGGCGGGGCCGCCGGGGCGTCTTAAAGGGCCAGCGGCGGGAGCGTCTCGCCGCGCGGCCGTGACCGTCGTGGCCCGCGGTTTCCCCTAGGGCCCGGCGGCCGCCCGTGTACTTGTCGCTGTCCGCGCCGGGAGGGACAGCCTGGGCACGCGTGGACGTGGCCCGCGGTGGAAACCGAGGGCGAGAGCCGCTAGAGGCAGGGGCCTCTGTCCAGAGGTCCGGGCTCCGTCCAAGCCACGGGACACCCGGCGGGGGCCCCGTGCGCCCCGCAGCAGCCTGGGAGGGCTCCTGGCAGATGGCCCTGCACCTCAGGGCTCCTCTGGCCTCGCCGGCTCGCCTGGGCTGGCTGATCAGACCCTCTGCTCCCTTCTCCAGTCTCTGATGTTTCGTCCCCTTTGAGAGGAACTCGGATCTCACGCAGGCTGGGGTGTGGCCGGGGGGAGGGGGAACTCACAACAGGGCTCTAATGAACGCCCTGGGGTGAGGGTGAGGGTGAGGGTAGGGGTTAGGGTTAGAGTTAGGGCTAGAGTGGACCTCCTGGCCCGAGCTGCATGTGCAGACCCCGGGGGTGGGGGCAAAGTGGGAGGCCGGCCTTGTGGCCAAGCAGGCTAGGCTCAGCATCCCAGAAGGGTGGAAGATGACCCAAGTGCTTGGGCCCCTGCACCCACCTGGGAGACCTGGACGGAGTTCCTGGCTCCAGGTTCCAGCCTGGCCCAGCCCTGGCTGTTGTGGCTATCTGGGGAGTGAATTAGTGGATGGAAGTTCTCTCTCCCTGCCTGTCTCTCTCTGTCTTTCAAATAAATAAATCTTTTTTAAAAATGACAAAAGGGCACACACACAGGAGCAGTCAGGCCAGGAGCCCCCAGCAAGCTGTGGTGGAGAGAGTGGGGGGTGGCCCCCGTGGCTACTGCCTTGCCGGACCGGGCACCTGAGATCCCAGCTCACCCTGGGCTGAGTCACCGGGCAGAGCCCTAGGCCTGGCCAGGAGCAATGGGACAACCTCCTGTCCCTGCTCGCTGCGCTTGAGCGTGGCACCAGGAGAAACCCCCTCACCACAGAGGGGAAGGGGTGGCAGGTCCAGTTTGCACGTGTGGACTTGAGCTGCCCCCCTGTCCCAAACAGATGCCTCCAAGCGGCTGGGGGCAGACCCACCAGGGCGCTCCGGGCAGCAACCCCTTCTTTGTCACAAAGTCCCTGGGGGTGGAGAGGGGGCAGGGGCGATGGGAGGCCATGGGATGCGATGGGGACTGAGGCCCCTGTGGGGGGCCTGGCTGAGAAGGGGCTGTTTGCCCCAGACAGCTCTGCACTCACAAGGAGCCACTCTTTGCCAGTTATAGATGGTGGGGGGTGAGATGGGGAGGTGGCTGGGAGTGACAGCTGCCCATCAACTGCTGGGATGCTGGGGACAAGAGGTGGGTTTTGTGTACAGTGAGGGAGACCACAGACAGACACAGGAGGCGGCCAGGCAGGTGGGCGCAGGTGCAGGCGAGTGGGGGAGGGCAGGAAGGTGGGGAGGTGGCCTCAGCCCTCCCCACAAGGCAGGCACCCAGTGCCACCCCGATAGCACTGGGTGAAAAGACCCTTCAAGGAACCTCACCCGTTTCACAGCCAGCAGACCCCCTGACCCTGTGTCACTTTCCCTAGTCCGAATGGCTGGGCGCGCTCTGGGCCGCTGTCCGAGAGGGGCCCACCTGCCCCGGGGAACCTGGCTGCCTTGCACGGAGACAAGAAGCTCGGTGCTCCCCTCATCTCTGCCAGCCACGCTGGATCCAAAGGGAGGCCCGCGACCCCCTAGGCCACCGTTTCTGGTCTCCTGGGATCCGCCAGGCTTAGTGCGCTGTGCGCTGGTGCCGCCCTCTCTGCCCGCCCCTGGGCCGTCCCCGGGAAGCAGGCGTCCACGTCCCCAGGGGCTTCAGGGGGAAACCAAGGCACGGAGAGCTTCTGCCGCTGTCCAAGGCCTCCCAGCCAGGGAGGGGCTCCCCAGAGACCACGCACACTGAGCTGCCGCCCCTTGGTGGGCTCAGCAGGAGCGCGTGCCTGTCGAAGGATACTGGGCACTGTGAACAGCATTCTGTGGGTCTTTTGCAGGCTGCTGAAATTCCTGTTTTGTTTTTTTTTTTTTTTTAAGATTCATTTATGTAAAAGGCAGAGTTAACAGAGAGAGAGGGAGAGACAGAGAGAGGTCTTCCATCTGCTGGTTCACTCCCCAGATGGCCACAATGGCCGGAGCCAGAGCTTCTCCCAGGTCTCCCACGTCGGTGCAGAGGCCCAAGCACGTGGGCCATCACCTGCTGCTTTCCCAGGCCCATCAGCAGGGAGCTGCATTGGAAGTGGAGCGGCCGGGACATGGACCAGCATCCCCATGGGAAGCCGACGTTGTAGGCTGTGGCTTAACCCACTGCACCCCAGTGCTGAACACTGAAATCTCTTTACCTACCTACAGGAACGATTCATGAAGTTCATGGAAAATGTAATTACAAGATAAGTATCTTGGTGCAAAAACATTTTTTTTAAATCCATGCAGGGGCTGGTGCTATGGTGTATAGTGGGTAAAGCTGCCACCTGCAGTGCTGGCATCCCACATGGGCACTGGTTCTAGTCCCGGCTGCTCCACTTCTGAGCCAGTTCTCTGCTGTGGCCTGGGAAAGCCCAAGATGGCCCAAGTGCTTCAGCCCCTGCACCCATGGGGGAGACTGGGAAGAATCTCTGGCTCCTGGCTTTGGATTGGCCCAGCTCTGGCCATTGCAGCCACTTGGGGAGTGAACCAGCAGATGGTAGACCTCTCTCTCTCTCGGGGAGTGAACCAGCGGATGGAAGACCTCTCTCTCTCTCTCTCTCTCCCCGACTCTGCCTTTCAAATAAATAAATCTTTAACAAAATGCATGCATAGTTTTCTCATAAAACACATTTTCCACAAACTTTTTGAAGACCCCTTGATAGTATCAAGTGAACACCTGCAAAAGAAAGGCAGAGTGACACAGAGAGAAATCTGCGGTGCAGTGTGGCCATTTCCAGGAGGAATCAGTGAACAGGGCTGTGTTTTCACCGGGGGCCCCCCTGCAGGGGACGGGGCCGCAGAGGGGGTGTGCCGGCTCCCATGCTGCTGTCCCCAGGCCTCAGCAGTCACTGGGAGACCAGAGTGAGCACTGTGCCCATCTGCGTGAGCTGTGACAGCCCGTCACATGCGCCTCTTGGCACATGCAAGAGGCTGGTATCTCACATGATTGGGATGGTGACCAAGAAAAGGAAGCGAATACAATTTCAGGAGCCAAGGCTGTAACCAATTACCGCCTGTGCCTGGCTCGGGGAAGGGCCCTCGCCAGACATTTGCTGGCTATTTGCTAACTGTTTACTTCAGATGAGCACTTTTTTAAGGTTTTAATGGTAAGACTGGTAAACCTTACAATGCTACTAGGCAGCGATTTCTGAATGTTCTGTAAACTAAGCATATATGTTTCTACACATCATGCAAAAACTTCTGGGTTGCCAAGTTGCATGGTGAATTCTAGCACAAGATACATATACGGTGCTACCCAAAAAAGTTTACGGAGGGGCCAGCACTGTGGCACAGGGGGCTAAGCTGCCCCCTGCGATGCTAACATCCCATATGGGCGCCAGTTCAAGTCCTGGCTGCTCCACTTTCCATCCAGCTCCCTGCTAGTGCACCTGGGAGAGCAGCAGCAGATGGCCCAAGTGCTTGGGTTCCTGCACCCGCATGGGAGACCCTAGATGGAGTTCTGGGCTCTTGGTTTCAGCCTGGCCCAGCCCCAGCCATTGTGGCCATCTGGAGAGTGAACCAGTGATAAGATTTCTCCCTGTGTCACTCTGCCTTTCAAATAAACCTTTTGAAAAATTTGTGGAAATTGGAATTGAAAAGATAAGTTTATGTTGGTGCAAATAGAAGTGGGGAGGTGGGGCAGCGCCGTGGCATAGCAGGTTGAGCCTCTGCCCACAACGCCGGCATCCCCTAAGAGCGCCTGTTTGAGTCCCAGCTGCTCCGCTGCAATCCAGCTGCCTGCTAATGTGTCTGGGAAAGCAGCAGAAGTCCTTGGGCCCCCGCACCCACACGGGAGGCCTGGAAGAAGCTCCTGGCTCTGGCTTTGGCCTGGCCCAGCCCTGGCCGTTGGTGGCCATTTGGGGAGTGAACAAGTGGATGGACGATCTCTCTCCTCCCTCTGTTTTATTCTTTCTCTCTCTCTCTTTAACTCTGACTTTCAAATAAATAAATAAATAGATCTAGAAAGGAAGGCAGGGAGAAAGAAAACTGTTGAACTCAAGGCTGGCTGGCCAGGGTCATCGGGCTAGGAGCTAAGTGACCAATGGCACCCGTGTCCTCCGGCCTCCAGCACTGAGCTCTGGGCCTTGGGCCGGAAGTGCATCCCCTTTCTGGTTAGAAATGTGTCCTGATCATTCTAGAAGCAGGGGTGGTGGACACTCTTTGGGAAGCCCCCTGGGGGCCTGTGAGGGGAGCGTGGTGCTGGGGTGCGCTGGGCCATGCCACCTTCCACCCCGCCCGACAGTGACACCCAGCTTCCCAGTTTTCCCGCGGCCTGGCCTGTGCACACCTGTCAGCTGTCATACACAGAAAAGAACCCGAACCTCCAGTGGCCGTGCAGTCAGCCGCTGGAGCACTGGGTTTGATGACAACTAGGCAACGACCTTGGGACCGAGAAGGCACCGCCTGCAGCCTGCAAGGCACTCCAGGAACCCAAAACCTCAAATGGGGACAGGTATGGGACCCTCAAGGCGCCCGGCAGGTCTCATCTGTGCCCCCAACCCCGCCTGGGGCCTGGTTCTCCTGCAGAGCAGAGTGTAGGTGCAGAGGCTTTGTGACAGCATCGTGCGTCCCTGGCTTTGTGAAACTCAAGGCTGGGGGACAGTGGGGAGGGGTTCTCCAGGAGGACAGAGCTAGCAGCCCCTCCCCTGGCTGGGCCTGCCCTGCCTCCCTGGCCATGTCCTTGGCAGGGTGGGGGTGGGGGGTGAGGGGGGATGGTGAGGGTCTTACCTGCTTCCTGTACTGTGGAAGCCATGGCCAGCCTCACAGTGGTGCCCAGGCGTGGCGGCGGGGACGGGTCTGGGGTAGGCAGGGGAAAGCCCCCTTACGCTGCAGCAGCAGATAGGCAGCGCCCAGCATGAAGGAACGAGCGAGGAGAAGGCGGGTGGGCAGGAGCCATCCCATGAGTGGGCAGGGCTGGGCCTCCAGGGCCACAGAATGCAGCCTCACAATCCCGCCCGGCCGCCAGGGTTCTCGGGTTCTGAGCCTGGAGTCTGCCCCCCGCTAGGGGGACGTTCTGGGCAGACATCACCAAGGGGACCCCTGGTTAAGTGGTGGCTTTTGGGGGGGATCGGGGGCTGTGCTGCCGGCCACAGGAAGACAAAGTGGGAGGGAGCGCCCAAGGGCCAGGGCCCTTCCCGCATCCCCGTCGCAGCTCTCAGAAGGGGGGTGCGTGTGCCAGCCTCTCCCCCAGGACAAGGCTGCCCCAGGGCTGTGTGTGAGGCCCGGGCCACATCCCGGGTCCAGGGCAGCAGGTCCTTCAGCCTGGCTCCCGCAGGGGGACCTGTAGCAGGTGCGGCGGGCGGCCCGGCAGTCTCCGCCTCTGTACTGCACCCCGCACCGTCTGGGAGAGCGTAGCTGACATCAGGCGAAGATGGACCTTGTGGAACAACCCTTGGTCTTCGCACCAAAACGGTAACCAGGACACACCTCCAAGTCCTCTTAGCTGCCGACAGCTGTCAGGGAGGCACATCCTGCCCTGTGGGGCTGTGGACAGGAACTGCCTCCCCACCCACCCTGGCTGTCTAGAAACAAACACGTGACAGCTAAGTCCCTGCCTGGGACTCCAGCGTCCTCATCAGGGGGCCTGGCTCAGGTCCTGGCAACTTGGCTTCCCGTCCAGCTCCCTGCCAGGGCACACCCTCAAGTGCCGGGGTCCCTGCCGCCCCAGGGGAGGCCTGGCGGGAGCTGCGGGCTCCTGGCTTTGGTCTGGCCTGGCTGTTGGGGGCATCTGGGGAGTGAGCCGGTGCTCTTTCTCCAGCTGCCCACCTCTCTGCCCCTGAAGTGAACAAACGTGAACAGCAGCCTGCTTGAGGGGCAGCGGGGCAGTCTTTCCCTCGAAGGCTGCACAGCTTTCTTTTCCATCTCCTGACCGCCGGTCCTGCCCCCAGAACCTGTAAGCCCCACCCGGGGGTCCTCCTGGAGAGAGGCCGTGCTCAGCGGGGCTTCTGCTCGCCCTGCTTGGAGCCCTTCAGGGCCTGTGCCCCCGACGGAAGCACCCCCACAGAAGCCGTCCCCCCTTCCGCCTCCGAACCCCAGCATCGCTCAATCAGCGCATCTCCTCCCACGGTCCCTACTCCATTGCTTTTCTGTTCTTTTTTTAAAGATGAATGGAGGTATTTATTTATTTGAAGGGCAGAGAAAGACAGAAATCATCTACCTGTTAGTTCACTCCCCAAATGGCCACGACCAGGGCTGGGACAGACCGAAGCCAGGAGCCAGGAGCTCCTTCCTGGTCTCCCACATGGCTGCAGGGGCCCAAGCACCTGGGCCATCTTCCACTGCCTTCCCAGGCCATAGCAGAGAGCTGGGTCGGAAGTAGAACAGCCAGGACTTGAACCTGCACCCACATGGGATGCCGGCATTGAAGGCAGCAGCGTGCTGTACCACAGAGCCCACCCTCCCCCAGCCACAGTCAGCAAGGTGGGGGTGCACAGCGTTCTGATGAAGGCGCCCAGGCTCCAGGGCAGGCTGCGCTGAGTAGTAGGAGCCCCCTTGTGACTCGGTTTCCACATCTGGGGGATAGGGTAATAACTGCACTTGCTTCGTGGGATTTTTGAGAGAAGCAATGGAAGTGGCGCTGGGCACCGCTTTTGTGCCCATCCTCACTCTGTGGTCCTTGTCCTGGATGACAGCACCTGCTCATGAGGCCCCCTCTGGCCCTGCTGCTCCCCAGCCAGAGGCGGCGCGGTCAGTGGCATAGGGTGCGCCCAGCAGTCACATGCCCCTGCCTCGCATGGGGAGGGCACGCTTGCCCTCTGAAGACTCAGAAAAACGGATTGACCAGGGACAGATTCGACGGGAGGAAGGGCCGGCAGGTCACTAATCTCAGAGAGGGCCGCGGGCGGGGGCAGGGGCTTGGGCGCTAAGACGATGCTTGGGGCACCTGCGTCCCATCTCAAAGTGCCAGTTTGAGTCCCAGCTCCGCTTCTGGTCTGGCTTCCCGCTAATGCCCCCGGGAGGCAGCAGGCGACGGTCCAAGAACTTGGTTTCTGTCACCCACAAAGGAGACCCAGATGGAGTTCCAGGCTCCCGGCTTCAGGCTGGTCCAGTCCAGCCACGGCTGTTGTGGGCACCAGCAAATGTAAGAGCTGTCTCTCTCTCACTCGCTCACTCTCGCATTCTCATCCTAACACTCAGGCCTTTTAATAAATAAACAAACTTTTAGGGAGGAAAAAGGCTAATTTTGCTGCAAAAAACCTGAAATGTATCCGCAGGTTTTTCATAATACATATTTTCCAGGAATTTATTAAAGAACTCTCATGTGCATGGATTTCATTTTTTTTTTTTGCACCAAAAATTAACTTCGCTTTTAATTCCACTTCTCCAGAAACTTTGGAAGCACTCTTGGGACGCGAAAACCGATTTCTCCCTCTGAACCACATCCTGGGATTAACCAGCACCTTCATTAAAGCAGCAGACTGGCACCTCTGACCAGCTGAGCCCAGGCGCTGGGGCTAGACTGACTCGGGGACAGGCCCGCATCAAGATGGCGCCTCCCGGGGCTATTCAAGCCGAGGCCGCTGGTGGGCCGGGGACGTAGATATCACCCACGGCCTCCACCACACCCGCCCTCTAGGCGGGTTCTGGCTGTTGGCAGCCCCATCACGCCCTGGTCTCGCTCACAGTATTACATAACCCGACTTTGGTTTTATGATTGACTAACCCAGTTCCGTCACTGTGAAGAGGAACCTGATTCGACAGCGTTATGAAAACAATGGGGGGGGGGCGGTTAGCTTGAGTATTGCAGCAGAACCAGGAGGCCGAGGGCAGTGCCTTCCCCTAAGGCCAGGTCCTCCCTGGACGCCTGGCGAAGGCGTGACCTGAGCCCGGGAGGGCCTGCTCCTGGCCTGGGGATTGCTCCCGGGTGCTGTGTCTCCCTGTGCTGACACGGAGAGACACGAACACACACACACCAGCACTGTGCTCACACACACACACACCTGCACTGTGCAAACACACACACACCTGCACTGTGCAAACACACACACACCTGCACTGTGCTCAACACACACACACCTGCACTGTGCAAACACACACACACCTGCACTGTGCTCAACACACACACACCTGCACTGTGCAAACACACACACACCTGCACTGTGCTCACACACACACACCTGCACTGTGCTCACACACACACCTGCACTGTGCTCACACACACACACCCCTGCTCTGTGCTCACACACACCTGCACTGTGCTCACACACACCTGCACTGTGCACACACACACACACCCCTGCTCTGTGCTCACACACACACACCTGCACTGTGCTCACACACACACCTGCACTGTGCTCACACACACACCTGCACTGTGCACGCACACACACACCTGCACTGTGCTCACACACACACCTGCACTGTGCTCACACACACACACCTGCACTGTGCTCACACACACATCTGCACTGTGCTCACACACACACACCTGCACTGTGCTCACACACACACACCCCTGCACTGTGCTCACACACACCTGCACTGTGCTCACACACACACACCCCTGCTCTGTGCTCACACACATGCACCTGCACTGTGCTCACACACACACACCCCTGCACTGTGCTCACACACACACCTGCACTGTGCTCACACACACACACCTGCACTGTGCACACACACACACACCTGCACTGTGCTCACACACACACACCTCCACTGTGCTCACACCTGAACTGTGCACACACACACCTGCACTGTGCTCACACGCGCACACACCTGCACTGTGCTCACATGCACACACACCTGGCTCTGAGCAGTCCTGACTCTGCTCTGGCTCCCGCCTCCTGCTCCTGTGCACCTGGGGGGCAGCAGTGCCGTGTGAGAGGCGGGGTCCTTCCGCCCTCATGGGAGACTGGCTGAGTTCCCAGCCCCTGGTTCGGCAGGGCAGGCAGCTGTGGCATTGTGTCCTCAGCAGACAAGATCCTTCTCAAATGCATTTTTACATATTTAAACAAGAACTAAGAGTTCTGGGGAGCTTCCCAATGTGGGAAGAGGCGGAACACAGCGAGAGCCACCCTGTCCTTGGTGAGCCCTCAGCAGGCGCCAGCTCCAGTCCCCTCCTCTTGCCACATCCATTAGCTGGAAGAAATCCAGGTGCAGCCCACCTCCGGGGCAGGGAATGGGCGGGCGGGTGGGGCCTGTGTGCCACCCGCCTTCAGCACATCAGTGAGAACCACACATCTGCAGCCCCCTGTGTGTGCACCTGAGAGTGGCCACCTCCCAGGAGCTTCCGGGTCAGCCCAGGGCCCCACACGCCAGCCCGCTGGCCGCCCGGCTGGTCCCCGGCCTTTGCCCCTGAAGTTCCCTCCGACTGCCTCACTCTCCTGCAAGACGCCCATGGATTCGCCCCAACGTTCGGGTCTCACCTCAGCAGAGAGCAGGGGTGCAGCGCCCCTGGAGGTCAGCTGCACCAGTACCTGCCGTGAGTCCCCCAGGCCTGTGCTCCCCGGTCACCTGAGGACAGCATCCTGGGCTCCCAGAAACGTGGCCGGCCAACTCCCTCCTTCCTAGGGGGACGCGAGGTGCGCCCTCTGGTGGGCAGGGCCGAGCCCTGCTCTGTCTGCTCGCAGGGACACCGCACTGCTCTGTCCCCCATCCCTGTCCCCTTTGCGCCTTCCGGAGAACTTTCTTTTGCTTTCTTTAATTTGGCTTCCTTTAGATCAGCACACATGGTTGTCTTTAGCTGCCTATGGAAACCTCTCCTCACCTAAATCTCTCCTTCTTCCCCATCTACCTCTCGTCTCTCTCCTCCCCTCTCCCGCCCAGGTCACCTCCTCCACCCACCCCACCTCTGACCAACCCTAGAAGCCTGTTTTGGATTGAGCACCTGCACCAGGCCCCAACAGATCAGACTACAAATTGAAATGGAGGGGGCTGGCGCTGTGGCATAGTGGATTAAGCCTCTGCCTGCGGCGCTGGCATCCCACGTGGGTGCCCATTCAAGTCCCAGCTGCTCCATTTCCAATGCAGCTCCCTGCTAATGCGTCCAGGAAAACAGCAGAGGATGGCCCACACGGGGATGGGTGGAGCTCCAGGCTCCTGGCTTCTGCCTGGTCCAGCTCTGGCTGTTGCGGCCACTTGGGGAGTGAACCAGTAGATGGAAGATTCTCTCTCTCATTCTCTCTCTCTCTCTCTCTCTTTCTCTCTCTCTGTAACTCTTTCAGATAAATAAATAAATCTTTAAAAGACACATGGGAGGCCGGCGCCGTGGCTCACTAGGCTAATCCTCCACCTTGCGGCGCCGGCACACCGGGTTCTAGTCCCAGTCGGGGCGCCGGATTCTGTCCCGGTTGCCCCTCTTCCAGGCCAGCTCTCTGCTATGGCCAGGGAGTGCAGTGGAGGATGGCCCAGGTGCTTGGGCCCTGCACCCCATGGGAGACCAGGAAAAGCACCTGGATCCTGGCTCCTGCCATCGGATCAGCGCGGTGCGCCGGCTGCAACGGCGGCCATTGGAGGGTGAACCAACGGCAAAGGAAGACCTTTCTCTCTCTGTCTCTCTCTCTCACTGTCCACTCTGCCTGTCAAAAATTTAAAAAAAAAAAGACACACGGGAACGGAGTTGCCTGTGTTAAAGTCCCACGTCACCGCACAGAAGCGAAACTGTCACATGCTGTCCCGAGACCACAGAGCGAGAGAGGGAAGCCAGACTTCCCAAGCGGCCAGGCGGAGGGCTGGCGCCCTCCCCGCGGCTACAACTCACAGGGCCACCCAGCCTGACTGCTGCCTTCCCGTCCCTCCGTACTCGTCTGTTCTGGGCTTCTGCTTCTGCTTTTGTCAGCTCTCTGCCTGTGAAGCCCACCTCTTCGAGCCCACCCATGAGAACACGTACCCTGGGTATGGAACAAAGAGCTGCCTGATTCTAGAACCACAGAATAAGCCGAGTAAGATCTCTTGATTGGTTGTAACTTTGTCCTTTGATGGAGCATGGATGATTTTATCTGAAAGGCAGAGAGAGAGAGAGACAGGGCTCTTCCATCCACTGGTTCACCCCCCAAATGCCTGCATCAGCCAGAGCTGGGCCAGGCCAAAGCCAGCAGCCCAGAACTCAGTGTGGGTCTCCCAGGTGGATGGCAGGGACTCACAGACCGGAGCCGTCACCTGCGGCCTCCCAGGGCGCATGCTAGCAGGAACACAGGGTTGGAAGCAGAGCTGGGACTTGAGCCCAGGTGCTCTCATCTGGACACGGCTGTCCCACGCAGCGCCCTCACCCCTGGCTGCACACCTGCCGCCACCAGCAGTTATGGAAGTGTGCCAGGCAGGGAAGCACCTGTCGCCCAATCTGCAAGGCACATTCCCGGGCTTCCTCTAAGTGATGGTTTTCCTTGCAGAGGGAGACAGAGGAGAGACACACAGTGTACAAGCTAACCAGGGAGATGGCACCTTGCTCGGGACGCCGTGGGGGCTCGGCAGCAGGGCTCCAGGAACCGTCACACGACAGAGGGCAGGCAGCCATGGCTGGTATGCCAGAGCTCAGGCCTCCCAGGAGGGTCCCCTGTGCTCCAGGCACCACGCCGACCCTGGCACACTCCGCGTGCTTGGTTTAGGTGTCCACTCTGACAGGTGGCCCCAGCAGCTCCTGCCTATAGTGCCCAGGCCAGCACGGCAGGTGCATTCTCTGTTCTTGAAGGCTAGGATGCCAGCAACTATCCGTGTCTGTGTGTGGGTGTGTGTGCACGTGTATGTACGTGTATGTGTGTGGGTGCGTGTGCACGTGTATGTACGTGTCTGTGTGTGGGTGCGTGTGCACGTGTATGTACGTGTCTGTGTTTGGGTGCATGTGCATGTACGTGTATGTGTGGGGGTACGCGTGCACGTGTATGTACGTGTATGTGTGTGGGTGTGTGTGCACATGTATGTGGGGGGGTACGCGTGCACGTGTATGTACGTGTATATGTGTGGGTGTGTGTGCACGTGTATGTGTGTGTGTGGGTACGTGTGCACGTGTATGTACGTGTATGTGTGTGGGTGCATGTGCACGTGTATGTAGTGTCTGTGTGTGGGTGCGTGTGCACGTGTATGTACGTGTGTGGGGTACGCGTGCACATGTATGTACGTGTCTGTGTGGGTGTGTGCACATGTATGTACGTGTATGTGTGTGGGTGCATGTGCACGTGTATGTATGTGTATGTGTGTGGGTGCATGTGCACGTGTATGTACGTGTATGTGTGTGGGTGCATGTGCACGTGTATGTATGTGTATGTGTGTGGGTGCATGTGCACGTGTATTTACATATTTGTGTGTGGGTGCATGTGCACATGTATTTACGTATTTGTGTGTGGGTGCGTGTGCATGTGCATGTATGTGGGGGGGGTATGCGTGCACGTGTATGTACGTGTCTATGTGTGGGTGCATGTGCACATGTATTTACGTGTCTGTGTGGGTGCTTGTGCACGTGTATGTATGTGGATGTGTGTGGGTACATGTGCACATGTATGTATGTGTACATGTGTGGGTGTGTGTATGTGTAGGTACATGTGTATGTGTGTGGGTGCATGTGCACGTGTATGTATGTGGGGGTGCGTGTACACGTGTGTGTACGTGGATGTGTGTGGTGCATGTGCATGTACATGTGTGTGGGTGTGTGCACGGGCATGCACATGTCTGTGTGGGTGCGTGTGCACGTACGTGTATGTGGGTGCGGGTGCACAT